AAGTTTGAAGCTGTCCCAAGGCACTGCTTTGTTTTTATTGGAAGCTCCTTTTCTGAAGTGCATATTGATGACCTAAGAAGGACACAGAAGCCTCAATCCTTCTTATCAATACATGCCAATGAGATCGCTCAGCTTGGGAGATGTTGTGGGGAGGGGTGTCAAGAGAAAGGGGCAGGTTTCCAGGTCAATCCTTGTGCAATTCTATCCTTTCCCACCTGTCTCAGGTGGAAGCAAGTGTGACTGGCCTACATTTGACTTACTTCTGAGAAGATGTGTTTGGGATTGTGCACAGAAGCTCTTCATTTCTTCTTCTAGGTTTGAAGAAGCCATTTCTATTCCAGTCTTTATTACACAGCCCTAACCATCAGAGCCAGGATACACAAGGATCATGTGCAACACTGGTTTAGAGAGCTCAAGGGCTGCAGGCAAGTGCACACAGATGCACAATTTCATATATGCACAGGCACATGGGCCTGGGCATGTGGACTTCCAGGAAAGGGAGAGGGGCAGGCAGCCAAAGACCTCCAAGCCTGCCCAAGCTGACCTCACCACCAATTGTCAGAGCCACCCAGTGCCAGCTGCCCGGTGGAAAGAATTCCTGGAGAGAAAGGGAGATGAGGATGCCTGTTCCCTTATTTACCCAGACTTCCCCTGGACTCTCCCTGCAATAAGAACTGCAGGAATCCAACTTATATCTTTAGTCCCGTATTTTCTATCCTGACTAAAGTAACATTGCAGGATTTCAGGCAGAAGTTCTTCCAGTCCTACACAGAAATGGCTGAGGGCTTTCTGCAAATAAAACATGGACAAAGCTATGGCTCTTCCTCCAGCCACCCTGGAGGAAGGATGCTGATAAATGCACTTCTCTGCAATACTGTTTGTTGTGGTGTTACTATAGTCACATTACATATAAGCATCCATGAGGTTTTATTCTGAAAGGTAACATGTGAATAATTATAATACATTCGCACACCTACACAGTAAGTGTTACACCAGAGATCTTGATACTGATGGCTCTGCCCTGGCTGCTAGCACTGGTGGGGAAAGGGGGCCACCTCTGAGTGAAGGATGCAAGGTCTAGGGACACACCTGGAGGGGCATTTGCAGACTGGGCTCTCAGAGCACCCTTGGGGAGCCTCAGGAAAGGACTTGGAGGGCCGCACATGGTGCCACACGTTGGGCGCCCCGCTCCACTGCGCCTCGCCCGCCTGGGACCTGCAGCCCAAAGAGCTCGGGGGAGGCAGCTCTGGGGTGTCGCGGCCCGAGGAAGGGCTTCGAAACCAGGCGAACCGCGCCTCTCCCGCCCAGGCGCGCTGCCTCCTCAGCCGTTCCGCGGAGCTTTCTTCCAGGTAGAAGGGCAGGCCGGGCCGGCAGAGGCGCCTCGGGGCGTAGCAAGCCTCCCACTCCCCCGCCCCGTCTTTCCGGCAGGCCTGCGGGCAAAGGGTGTGGCGGAGGGAGCCTTCGGCGGCGGCGGCGGCGGGAGCGCCGAGCCGGAGAGGAGCGGCGCCGCTCCCGGCTGCATGGAACAAGCGCCTTCCCCTTACGCCGCAGAGCTCCGGTCCGCCTTCTCCAGGGCCATGAGCGGCTCCCGGCCAGACGAAGAGCAGCGCGGGGCAAGCATGCCCTCTTCCCAGGGCGGCAGCAAGATGGATCTCTCCGAGGAGGAAATCACCAGAGCCGAGCAGGACTGGGAAACGGCCATGGCTGTCTACGAGAGCCTCACCACGACCAAGCGACCCCGGCCCGTGAGTGGACGGCGCGGGAGGCTGGCGGGTGGTGCCCTCCGTGTGGCCGCGCCATCCTGCGTCGGCTTTTTCGAAAGGAAAGCCCGCCCTGTCTCGTATCGGCTGCTGCTCCAGCAGCGCCGGCAAGCGTGGCCCCCGTTCCGTCCACCTTCCCCCCACACCCCAAATGGCCGCCCCTTTATTCTCCTCGCCACTCCTTCTCCCCGCCTTGGGGCTCCCTTTGCCATGGCTGCACCCCTTGTGATCATCCCGACATGCGTGTACTTTGGCCCCCTTTCCCCGCCATATCCTGCCCCCTAAGCCACTTCTGGCCTCTCTCATCCTTTCTTCACCTCCTTTCATCATTTGCCATTTTTATCTGTTAGTGTTAATCCTTCTTCCCTTACACGCACAGCCCAAGCCCCAAAATGCCATCACCGTTGCTGTGTCTTCCCGGGTCCTCTTTGATATGGTGGTAGAGAGGAAGATCTATGAAGAGGAAGGTGTGGAAAAGTATGTGGAATACCAGCAGGCAAATGAGAACATCACCCTGAAGCCTGGACCTGCTTTTTCTTTTGTGAAGGTAAACGCACTTCCTCTTCCATTCAGTTCAGTTCAGTGGGGCATTTCCACTTGCCTTGCCACAGAACTGCCTCCGTTTACTTTGCCTTTTCTTGCCTCACCCCTCTGGCCAAAACTTCCAGTACATAATGCAACTGTACGAGGTTGCATAATCTTGCCTTCAGATGCACGCAAACGCCGTGCATTGGAAATGGTTTCCTGGTTTCTGTGATGAGAAGGGAGCTTCCCTGAAAGCAGTGTCGCAGTTCTAGGCCACATTAAGTGAAGCGGCAGAGCGTTAAATGAAGGTGCTGCAGAATGGGTTCTGCTATGCTACACCAGCTAATACTTCTTAAATCACTAGGCTCTGCATGTTCATGTTCAAACGAGCCACCAGAAGGCACAGTTCCTTTGTTCCGTCTCCACTTCTGGTTTAACAGGGCTTGCAGTATTTTGGAAACAGTTCTCAAACCTGCAAACTCAACTGAACTGAAAATGGGATGCCACATTGTAGGCAGTAATTCCCCTTTCAAATTGCTTTCAGTTCTGGAATGGCTGTACTCTCTTGGCCAGCAAATAAAGAATTCCCCTTTCTGAGCTGAATCAGTATAGTTTTAAAAGCTATGTACAACATTGGAAAGTATCAGACTGGCAAATGACCCAGATCAGAAATGTTGATGGCTGCTTAGGTGTCACATCTCCTCAACAGCATTGCTTTTGTGACATGGGCATTGCAATCCAAAACCCTTTCATATTAGGTTATGAGAAGGACTTTTTTTGAAATGTACATTTAAGTTCCTTGTCCAACAATTTTAATATGTATGCTCAAAACTTTGCTGTTTATTCGATTGACCTGTGCTTGCATAAAAGCTATACAAATTTTGGCTGTCCGGTTTTCAAAGCCCTTTTCCCTAGGCCAGTCTGCCTTATTTAATGCTCCATCATACAGAATTCCACTAGAAAGGAAAACCAGTGGATGGTGTAACAATGAAACGGTTGAACTAGGACTGGAAAGACAGGGTCTCACTCAACAATGAAGCCTTTAGCCAACTCCCTAGTCACTGTGTCTCAGCCTAACTGATCCCACACAGGCACAGAGTAGAAGAAAGGAAGGGGAGTACCTTGTAAGCCATGTGGAAGAACTATGGAATATAAATAACAAACATAAATCAACATCCATGAGTAACACCCTATGACAGATGTCGGGAATAATGGAGTTGTAGTCCAAAGCATCTGGAGGGCACCAGTTTGGAGAAGGCTTGTATAAACATTGCAATTTTGTGCATTTCTTTGAAATGTACATATAGTTGCATTTTGCATGCAGTTCAGTACCTGGGCTTACTAGGAAGCACCCCCCAGCATCGCCCAAAAGTAACTGTTGCTCATCTGAGGAGCCTTTGGTATGCTCAAATGTTGTTACTAAGGCTAATCTTGGAATATACAAACATGCACTTTAATGAAAGCCTGTGAACTGCAGAAGGTGCACTCCTTAATCCTCGGAGGCTGAATTTTGTACCTCTTTTGTACCTACAAGCCCCGGCAGACCTTGTCAAGAGGTCAAGAAGCAGAACTGGCAGAACGAGTAATGCAAGTTGGGCTGGCAAGCACACTTTTCTTCTAGGCAGAGCCCCACGGGTCCTGATCAAATCCACTGATAAGAACAGATAATTGAGCTAGTGCTTGTCTCACGTGTTTGCTACTCAGGCACTGGAGCACGTCAATGCCCGACTTCGTGAGCTGTACCCGAATGAAGAAGATCTCTTTGATATTGTGCTCATGACTAACAATCATGCCCAAGTAGGGGTGAGACTGATCAACAGCATCAATCACTACGGTGAGTGTCAGGCACATCTTTGGCTCTGCTGCTGCTGGTACATCTTCTCTTTATATTTTATTGATTTATGCCCACTTTTTCTTAAGCCAAGTACATGCAGCTTAGATGGGAGCTCCTTCTAAACAAGGGTGGCAACTTGGGGCTCTCCAGATGTTTTGGCCTACAATTCCCATCAGCCCTAGTCAGTAGAGCCAGGGCTAAAGGCTGATGGGAGGTGTAAGCTAAAATATTTTGGGGGACACAAGTTGATCCTCCTGCTGTTTGAGGGGAGGGAATTTTCTTTCATCAGAGTCACTTGGTGTACTGCAAGGACTCTAGCATTTAATGTCACAGCTGCTTCCTTGCTTCACACAGCTCTGTCAAGTTCATTCTTTTCACTGCTTAAAAGCAGAAGCTGGCTGGGCATGATGTGTCACAAGCAGTGCTTGCTTACCAGAGAGGGGATACTGCCATAAGCATCATGGCAGAGGCCTGGGATGAGCAGAAGGAAGCTCTCCAGATGCCTGGGTCTTCAAGTCCCAGTACTGGCTAAGCTGGCAGGTGCTTCTGGGAACTGAAGTTCCAAACATCTTGGAGAGCTACCTTCTGCCCACCTCTGCTATAATGATCTGCCCACCTCTGCAGATCATTCTGATCAAACATGTGCTGCCCTTGCTGAAATATAACCTGTTTTTCACCTCACACCCCATCTTCTTTCTCCTCCAGTATGATTTAGCTCTTTGTCTCAGCTAACCTTCCTCTGCTATATCCATCAAACTCACTGCTCCTGACATTGGAATATGGCTGGATGTGGGCAGCTCTTGCCCCCATGTGCCTGTGAACACCTCTCTTGGCACCTGCCAGATTCTGCATCCTCTCCTGATTTTTACTATTTTTTAAAAATTATCTCCAAAAATTGATTGGGACACATGCTGCAAAGCAGAGGGTCACCCTGCAGTGAAATCTTTTTTTCTAAGAATGCTGCTGGTCCATATGTGGGCACCAGAGCCACCCACATGAGTTACGACATAGCCCTTCATTTTGAAGTCTGCCCAGCCATCCAGGAAAAGGAAAATGGCATGCTAGGAGGGGGCAAGTGCTTTGCCAGTGCTTTGTGAATATGCTTTGCCTGGTGTATGTGTGGGTGTTTCTTATTCTGAGCGGCAGCAACTGCTTGCTTTCTGTACAATAGTTTTGTTCTGCTTTGTGGGAGGCAAGTAAGAGATTTTGGCATTTAGGGCACAGACCCCTCCTCTGTCTTGTGCTTAGTTTCTTGGCAAAGCTGCTTGTTTCTAAGAAATGGGTGCTGGAGCAGAAAAGGGTGGTTTTGAAAGATGGATGTTGTGTTTGGGAGTTCAGTCCTCACTTCTGCCTTGTGCTTCTTCTGAGATTCTTGAGCAAGTGACCTTTTTTCTCGATCCATCAGTTTGCCTTCTGAGAGATGAGTGCTATGTGACACAACATGCCTACTGTGGCAGTGATTTTATAAATGGTCAGGCCCCTTCCCCATAGCAGTTATGCTGAGAGCGCACCCACAGGGAGAGTATAGCAGCCAGGCAGAATGGAGCATGGCCATACAGGTTGCTGCACAGGAGTCCTGGAAGGAGATCCAGCCCAGCTCAGCCCCGGCCATGAGGAAGCTGTCTCTGCCCAAATGTATAGCTGAACTGAACAAAGGATCTTTGTGACAGAATCTTCTACTGGTGCGACGTCACATTGCATTCTAGTAGCAGTCTCAGCTCTGAGACTGTCTCTGCAAAGCCAGGGCACTGATGTCACACTCCCGCATGGCTGAGGCAAGAGGATTCCTTCCACATCCAAGGCCCATTGTTATGTAAAGGCCCTCACAAATTGACATGATGTTGGGTGCCCCCCCCTCCACATACTCCTTTTTGCTTTCCTCCTGAATTAGAACACAACAGCCCCAGGGATGTATGGTACCAGTCTGCACATCTGTGGGCATGAGCTTGGTCTGAGATTTTTTTTCTTATCCCATGGCAGATCTGTTAATTGAACGGTTCTGTATGACTGGAGGAAAGAGTCCTGTCGGCTACCTGAAAGCATATCTTACCAATCTGTACCTTTCTGCTGATTCTGAAAAAGTTCAAGAAGCCATAGAAGCAGGTTTGGATTGCAGTTTTCCCTTACTTTAATCATAGAGGGCTACCCAAAATACTGAGTAACTGCATGTATCTTCCACGGGGTGTTGTAGCTGCAATTTCGATAGAGAGTTAGGCTATGCACCCCAAATGGGTTTGACTGTTTTTTAAAAATTTAGATCCAGCTTTATTTATAGACAACTTTCTGATTGATGATCTGGTCCTTTGTATTCTTTCAGTGATCGCAGCTGTTCCTTTCCATGAGGTTCCACTACCATATTGGTATAATATTCCACAGGTCCTCCATAAACGGTCCAAGTGCTCTAAAGCATTCTCTGGCTTCACTTGAGATGGCTGATAACAGCCTGATCCTTGGAAGTGTGTCTCGTCCATTCTGATGAATCTTCCAAGCAAGCAGTGTTGGAACCCGGTGCTTAAGAGGAGCTTTGAGACCTTTTGTCTTCCCAATCTTGGAAACAGAATAGAGTTATGAAAGAGTATACCATCACCGAATCAAAGCAAAGGGAGCATCCAAAGGGCCAGGAAACCAGATAGGATTCAATTTCAAAAGCTGAGACTAGCCTGGACTTTCTAATGTTAACAAAAATGGACATATTTAAATTATTGTAGCTTGTTCCCAGAATGTACAAAGCAAGATCAGTATGAAGACCAATCTTCCCAGAGGATCAGCAGTAAATGACCTGGAACATTTCTACCAGCTAGCACAGCAGGGAACCACCAGTTGTTAAAGCACCCAGAACAGAGTGCATCCAGCATGGGGCAAGCCCGCAGAACTTGTAGAAGGGAGCTCTGCTGACCTTTCCCAGTCCAGAACCTAGTGCTTCTGCTTCTATCCAGGCTTTTAGGAAGCGTTAACTTGCTTTTGCACAAGTAGTGTCCTAGTGGAATGTGACAGCTGGCAGTTGTGCAGCTGCCCCATTGGATGCTGCCCTTCAAGCCCCATTGAGAGTATTGTCCTGCTAGGCTTTCATCAGAAGATTTCTGCAGTCATCTGTTGTTATGGTGCTTCTAAGAAATAAGAAATAAAATAGTAAGGTGCTGTCTTTCATGGGGCTAAAATGTGGCCAACAGGAATACATGTAAGGTGCAAAGTTAATCACCAGCATAAACATTCAAATGGTCCAATCCTTTGCATACTGGTCTTTTGCTTTCATAGGATGCAAGATTAATAGTTTCTTAATTATGTTTGCAGGAATTGCTGCCGCCACACTGTTTTCAGGGAATAAAAATGTTCCATATGACGATAAGCAACTTCGAGTGGCCTTTGATGGGGATGCCGTTCTCTTTTCTGATGAATCTGAAATAATTGTGAAAGAACATGGCCTAGACAGATTTTTTGAGCATGAGAAGATGAATGAGAATAAGCCTCTAGCCCAGGTAAGCTGGTCAGTTTGCATTTTTCTTTGTTCCCATGACAAACATTGCCATGGCCAGCACAAGTATACTGTTGTTTGGTTAGTTCGCAGAAGCATTTTAACTGGAAATGTCTGTTTCCCTTTTTAAAAAGGGAAATAACAGGGGTAGGTGTTCATTTATTTTTAAACACAACTGGAAGCTGTAGGGGCTGGAGCATGCTGGGAGACGAAGGATATTTTTCTGTCTAAAAATGTACAGGATTTACATCCAATTCCACTCAAGTGTGAGAATGCTTTCAGCATTCCTCCTCTCTAGTGTGGAACGGGGGTGGGCAGACATCAGGCTTCTTTGCTGAACCAGAACCATTTACAAAATACTGCTTCAAGCAGGTGGATGGGCATAAAATTAAGGAAAAAGGTGCCTCTCAGGACATCCTTAGCTGAGGATTTTGTGAGCAGTACCGGAGCCAAGCTCACATATCCTTTCACACAAAAATTCAGTCCCTTTGTTTCCCCCATGCATTCTTTTCCAAGAAAATTTAGATTGGCATAGGGGGCTCCTTTTTATTCCTTGATAATTAGTTGTCAGCACCTCTACTAATCAACTGCAAGTCATCCATAGCCCACCTCAATCTGTCATCTGCCTCCTTCTGCAATACTGCGCAAGATGGACAAAGGCATAAGGCGGCTTCTGAGTTACTTTTCCCTAGTTAAGTTTTCTTCAGTGTTCTTTGTATTTTAGAATCGTTAAACAGCCCCATAGCTCTCTTCATGGTGACTCACCAGTCACCATATGCTCAATGTGTTTCTGATATTTTGTGCCTGTAGGGCCCTTTGAAAGGTTTCCTGGAAGATCTTGGACGGCTCCAGAAGAAGTTCTATGCAAAGGACGAACGCCTGGATTCGCCAATCAGGACTTATTTGGTGACAGCCCGAAGTGCAGCCAGTTCGGGAGCCAGAGTGCTGAAGACGCTGCGCAGCTGGGGAGTACAAATTGATGAAGCCCTCTTCCTTGCCGGGGCACCCAAGGGACCGATCTTGGCAAAAATCAGGCCTCACATTTTCTTTGATGATCAGATGTTTCACATAGAGGGAGCACAGCAGCTGGGTACAATTGCTGCACATGTGCCATATGGCATTGGGCAGAAGTACCACAAATCCAAATTGAAGGACAGCCCTGACAATAACTAAGTTCTTTGAACTTAGCCTCAAATGTTAGGTCTGACATTTCCATACTTGGACTTGTATCAAGATTACATTTTTAAGAGTATCCCACCCCCCAGGTTTTTGATCTATTTTTAGAGATTTTTTAGAGATTTTTTATAATTATTACATTATTTGGAATATATATGTGCTCCTATATATATTTCTACTTCATCAATCTTTCTAGCTTGGGCTTTTTAAATATCTTTTTTAAATGTTAGCACACTACTACTTAAATTGCAGGGGTAGGTGGAAGGTGTATATTGGGATTTCAGCATGCCAGAAGTCCCTAGCAGTACAGCCAATAGTCAGAACTACTGAAAGTTGAAATCTAAAACTGCTGGACATCTGCTGCTTCCTGCCCATCTGGTGTTCTACAGCACCAGGGGATTTACACAATATGGTATATATGCTGTTGTGTTGATAGCAAAGGGGTGCTGGTGCACAAATAAGCGTTGGAAAATCTGTATGGGGTTTTGTGTGCATTACTGCATCTAATAAAGCTGTCTATTGTCTCCAGTGCACACCTAGTAGGACTGCAAGAACGGGTCAACTGAATATAACCCAGAATAAAATCATTAGTGCTTCTGTTGACTGAAGTGAGGTGCAGATGGCACTGCTTTCAATTTGTAACTCTGAATCTGTTCTCATGACATTTAGAACACCCCCAAAACAGCAAAGTGTATTTTATTTAAGTGTCACTGGTGGCTGGTTGATTCAGTCTTACAGTCTCCTAAGTGTGCTGTGTGACTGACTCTATGCAACAAAGATGCAGATATCAGAATTACTGATCTTGCTGTTTACAGGAAAATATCTGTTGTATTTGTTCACTTTAATAAAAGCTGGTTACAGAAACTATCAGCACTTTTACTTATTTATCTAAGAGTCTTTAAAAATAAAGAAGCCAAAACTATGGGCAATTGTTGGGTAACTCTGAGTTGTTAATTGTCTGAGTTAATTGTCTGAGTTGTCCGGGTTCAGACATCATGAAACAATGCAGGAATGGGCTGTTAATTGAAAATAGAAATGACTCACTCTGTCCTTTGCCTGACAATTCTGGAGGCTATAAAGCCCATCAACTGTTGTGGTAACATGTGAACCAGGTCTTTGTTGAATATGGCAACTCTGGTACACAAAATAGAATCATTTTGCTCAGAAAAGTTCACCTCTATGAAGTAAACGGAAATTACTCTCTAGAATACCTACGGCACTATCCTGTGCATGTTTGGACAGAAAAAAACTCCAATTCCCATTTCTGTCTAAACATGCATAGGACCATGCCCTTAGGATTGCAGTTTGCAGACTCTTAAGATGACACAGAGAAAGTCTATCAATTTATTAAAAAAAATAGATCTCAAATGTCTGTTGCCACACCATTGGCAAAGTGGGAGCAAGTGGACAGGAAGGAAATTCAATAATAATTCTGTGTTTATTTTAAGCCAAAAGTAGTTTGAACATGAGTTGGCCACTCATTTCCCCCTGGAAGTTGCTCTCCCACTTTTCAGAAGAATTTGTTGCTCTACATAGATTTGACATTATGCAACAGACTTTAAAACAGATAGGGAAACCTCCAGCCCATAGGCCAAATCTGCCCAGCAGGCCTCCTCAGCCAGCATGCAAAGCCCAGGAGAAGACAGAGAGCACCCTCCAGCAGCCACAAACCTAAGAAGTGCACCTTAAGACTATAGCTTCTGTTCATCCTTTCCTGGTTGCCTCGATTTTCATGCCCTCCACCTTCTTCCCTGTTTCTTAGCTCATTGCACCAATCAACTGAAGAGGCAGGAAGGAGGTGTGAATGGTGCGCCCCTGTCCAAATGCAGGGTGGGGAAAATGAAGTGCACACAGGTTGATCTGCATTGCAGGATCCATCACATCTAGAACCAGCGTGGTGTAGTCATTACAATATTGGACTGGAAGAAGGAGATCCGGGTTCTAGTTCAATACGAAGCACACCAAGTGACTTCAGGTCAATCACTGACTCTCAGCCTAACCTACCTCATAGGGCTGTTGGAGGGAAAGAGGAGGAGGACCATGGAAGCTGTTCTGGGTTCCTTGCAAGAAATAAAAAGGAGGAATATAAATATCATTAATACTGGCCCTTCAACATACACATCATCATTTGGGTTTACAGCAACAAAATACCCCACACAAAACGTACCTCAGTATATAGCAAAAGCCAATCTAGCTGATCTGCCATCTTAACGTTAGTATTCAGTGAATGCAGACACTTAGGACTGATTCTCCATTCAGCAGTGTAAAACGGAGATTCCAAATCAAGCAGGAAACTAAAAGGAGAGTTTTAATGTAGCCTTTCTATTTCTGTACCCCAAAAACGAGAAGTATCTTGTACCACCATAAAAATTATTTTAAGTCTGTTACATAGTTATAATCTTCTTGGTCAGATACGTGGAGTGTTACATAGGCGTAGAAGAATAAACACAAAAAAAGCAAATACATGAAAACAAAAATTTTTCAGTTTACTATGCAAAACTTGCTATGCAAAATAAGCACAGTAAGGATTCGCAGCAGCAGTCATCGTCGAAAACGCGAGCATCCTAGCTAAATTAAGAAACACCTGAACTAGAATACAGCCTCCTCATCGCGATTCTGTTCAGAGTTGACAGATATCCCGAACTGCAGTTCAGTCTTTCCCCTGCGCGCGGGCGCGGCTTGCCCAGAAGAAACCTCTGGAACTACAAGAGCCACAGTGCCAAGCGCCGGAAGTCGGCCAACCAGCGCACTTCCCTGCACACCGAGGAGACACCCCATTCTCTCCCGCCTTCTGCAGCAGCGCGATGTCATTGGGTCGTAACTCCGGGATATTTCTCAGTAGGCCCTGCGCGCTGTCAGTCCTGCCCTCGCCCAGCGCTCTGGGCGATGGCCGCCACTGCGGTCGTGCTGGCTGCAGCTCTGGGTGGAGGACTGCTCCTCATCGCCCGCCGCTTCTGGGCGGCGGCCGGGAAGGTCAAGCGGAACGTGTCTGCCGCCGGCCATATGCAGGGCAAGACGGTGATCATCACCGGGGCCAACAGCGGCCTTGGGCGGGCCACGGCGGCCGAGCTGCTACGGAAACACGCGAGGGTCATAATGGCGTGCCGAGACCGCGGCCGTGCCGAGGAGGCCGCGCGCGAGCTCCGTGCTGAGGTGGGCCTGAGCTCTCGCGGCGGGGGCGAGTGCCGCGGGGAGCTGCTGGTGCGCGAGCTCGACCTGGCTTCGCTCCGATCCGTGCGCAACTTCTGCCAGCAGGTGCTACAGGTAAGCGCGGCGGGCAGTGTGGGAATGAGCCGCTCTCCCATGTCAGCATTCTCCGAGCCGTAGCCCTCCAGGTACGCTGGACTACAGCTTCCATAATCCGCTAGGCAGGAGAAGCTGGTGGCACCCATGGCACTGGGGCTCCTAAGCCGTTGCAGTTTTTATCCTGAGTTTTATAGGACCTGTCGATGGTGCTGAACTCCTTCTCCAAAATAGGTTTGCCACCGTAATATTGCACAGAATATAAGCTGCAATAAATAAGGAGACCCACTGTCACAGAAGTCGCCAATTTTCCCAAGACCACATAGGATTGTGTGGTTGTAGTCCAGCACATCAGGTGCTGAAAAATGGTACTCCACGCTGTGGGAAGAACGGAGAATGGGGCAGGTAAATGACTTCAAGGAAAGAGCTAATCATGTTGTCAGGGAGATGTATATTGCAGTCTAAAAAGCAAAACACTAAATTGAAATAAAAGACAGCTGCCTAAGACATTTTTCCACGATGGGTGGATTTGAAATAAAAGGCAGCCTCTGGAATACTCTCACAGGATACACATCGTTTTCAGCAACCTTATAATCTCCATGCATATTTGAGATCAATATCAACCCTGAGTGACCATGGATTTAGATGGTTCTTTAATATTTTATGATAATATGAATCTTAAAATCCCAGCACACAGCCACTGTTTATCTCAGTAAACCTTGTAAATAGGACTGCAATCCTTTATTAGTTACCTGGGAAGCAACTCTGTTGAATTCTCAGTAGGCATATATAAGATGGCACCATATGTAGTTAGGTTTTAGCACCCAGAGTGCAGTCTAAACATTGTATTATTGATGGTTGTTAAAGGGCAAGTGAGCCACCTGGGACCACACTGCTTAGGAACATAAGAAGCTGACTTTCACTAAACTAGATCTCTGGCTCATCTAGATCAGTATTGTAAAGACTGACAGGCCGTGACTCTCCAGGGTTTCAGGAAGGAATTTTTACAGCCCTGGCTGAAGATGCCAGAGGCTGGGTCTTCTTTGCATGCAGATCATATGTACCACTTGGTCACAGATCTTTAGAGATGCTTCAGGTGCACCATTTTGTTCACTGCATTGTTAGCCTATCTTCCTCCAAACAGGAAGGTGCAAAGAGCTGAAGGTTGAATTTCATGGCTGAGGAGCAATCTGAACCCAGCTCTCTCAGTAATAGTCCATCACTTGGTTGTTCCCACACCAGGGGTAAGCAGCTTGTAGCCCTCCAGTTATTTTGGCCTACAGTTTACATCAGAGGTGGCCAGCATAAGCAATGGTGAGGAGTTGTAGGTTACAACATCTGAAGGGCTATAGATTGCCCTCTCATGCCCTACCACATATTGGCTTTCACAAGGTAGGGATATCATTTTAAACAAATTTTCCCATTTCCACAAATGCACATATTCCACAAAACATGTTTCCTTCATCAACACCAGATTGTTGGAATCTGTGCAAAATGGTGTGAGGTGGGGACATGTTCCTTTTTTTGTCAAGTAGGCATGCCCTGGGAACTGCCTTTCTAACTAACTACATACCAGGGTTAAATAGGAAATGAATTGAATAGAAAATAAAAATGGCAAAACACCTTATGGCACCATAAAGAGTACCAAGGATAACCCAGTGGGTGAAGTGTCTGTTACAGAAACTCTAGGGAAAGTGGCTGTGTCATACTTGAATACTTGATTCTAAAGGAAGCAAAGGACAAGTGTAACTCACATGTACCCTGGATTTTAGGGAAGCCAGTTCTACGAAACTCAGAACAATGACAAATAAGTAAGTAACTTTAGAGAGAAAAGGAGTCCAAGACTTTTTAAAGGAAATACTAAAGGCAAAATTGCAAACAATTTCAACAAGAAGAAAGGTAGATGACAACTGAAAAAAAGCTGATGTGTCTTTGCAAAAGGTTTAGAAATGACTTCAAAACAAAAAAGGACATTTACAAGCACTTGGGATGGTTAGGCAAATGGTCAAGGAACACCATTACTTTGAACAAGTTCACTAAGCACTCCAGGGCTTAGTGATCTGCATGCTAGAGTAATAAACTGACAGAAAAACTTTCAGAACCACTGCATATTATCTTGGAGAAATCATGGAGGACAAAGTGCCAGATGCCTGTAGGAAGGCTAAATGTTGTCCCTACCCTCAGAAATGGGGAACACAGGAAACTGGGAGCTACACACCAGTTGCTTTGGCTTCAATCCCTGTGAAAAATTTTAGAGCAGATTAGAAAACAGTTAACCTGCAAACACCTTGAAAACAATGCAGTGATTACTAGAAGCCAATATGAATTTCTCATGTCCTACCTAGACTAATATGATTTCATTTTTTTTAACTGGATAACCTCCCTTGTGGACTGGGGGACTGCTGCAAACATAATACATCAAAGCAAAGCTTTTGAAAATGAGCCCCATGATGTCCTGATTAGCAAACTAGCTAAAAGTGGGCTAGATGGAACAACTGTTAGGTGGATCCACAGTTCGTTATAGAACCAGACTCAAGGAGTGCTTTGCTGTAGCACCTTCTCAAACTGGGGAGAGGTAGCACATAGGGTGCCACGGGGTTCCATCCTGGGCCCAGTGCTCTTCAACATGTCATTAATGATTTGGTTGAGGAAGTTCAGGGAATGCTTACCAGATTTGCAGGTGATGCAAAATTGGAATGCAAAAACAAAATTCAAACTTCATAGGTTGGAAGACTGGGCTGAAAACAGCAGAATGAAATTTAATAGGAACAAATGCTAGGACCTGCACCTAGGAAAAAGAAACAAATCCATACTTACAAAAAGGGGGATGCTTAGCTCAATGATGCCACAAGCAAAATGTATGTCACAATTGTTGATCACAAGTAGAATATGAGCCAGCAGTGCAGTGTGGCGGCCAAAAAGGCAGATGCTGCTTTGGGCTGCATTGCTAGAGTATCACATGAAGTACAAGTTCCCCTTAAGTCAGCACTTCTTAGGCCTCATCTTGGGTATTGTCTCCAGTTTTGGGCACCTAACTTTTAAAAATATGCAGACATACTAGAAACTGTTCAAAGGAGGGCAGCAAGGGTGACCCAGGGTCTAGAAACATGCTCAGCCTGAAGCAGAGAAGACTGTGGGGAGATAGGATTGCACTTTTCAGTACAGAGGAGGGCTGGGATTTCTTCTTTATCATACAAGAGAACAGGACATGGAATGCTATTAATATACAGGTGGAGTAAGAACAAGAGGTGGGTAGGTTGGCAGCCAATAGATTTATAGATGTATTTAAAATGCCCTTGTGATTATGCTTATTTTATTGTTTTTAATGATGTAATTGTTGTATGTTGGCATATTGTAATATGAACTTCTATATTTTAACAACACTTTTTTGTAAACTGTTTTGGGAGCCGTGTATGGCTATCAAATGGTATAGAAAAGCAATAAATAAATAAAGGGCTCAAGTTACAGGAAGCCAGATTCTTCTTTCTTGGACTTCAAGAAGAACTTTCTGCCTGTTAGATCAGTATGATAATGGAATCGACGATCTAAGAAAGTTATGGGTTCTCCCACACTGGAGGTATTCAAGAGGCAGCTAGACAACCATCATGCTAGGGATCCTTTAACTTGCAGTCCTGAATTGAGCAGGGGGTTGAACCTAATTGCCTTACTGGCCCCTTCCAACTCTTGTGTTCTACAATTCTTTGATTATGTGGAATTTGCCTGGCCATTGACCACACATGTTCATGCCATTAGGAGTGTGTGAGGAACCCATTTTGGGGGTGGGAATCTGTCGGAATCCCTGGGCTCTGCTCCCCAGACTGCTTTCTCACAGTCATGAGTCTGACTTCCTGAAGAATGTGTCCCTCTTCTGTGGGTGTCCCTTGCAACCTTTGCTTATGCTGCATGTGCTGTGGATGAAGGATGCCAGCTGCACAACTGGACTTCTGTGAGTGTTCCTGGATTTCCCCAGCAAGGGCTGAACACAACAGGAAGTTCGACAGACAGAAAAGAGCTGGATTTGGGGGAGGATCATTGCAACCCTACATGCCATAACAATTTGTCAGTCCCTAAGGACCCATGCAACTTGTAGTTTTGCTGAAAAAAGTAGCACAACTATCCATCAGGGAAACGGGACCAACAGTGATGTTGCTAGCGTTGCAAGGGCCAGATGAAAAGGGCGTAAACTACTGCTGCTTCTGTTTTAGAAGACCAGATTTTTTTAAATCTCTCATCTTTTAAAACAATTTGAATAATTTTAAATTTATATATCTGACTGACTCCTTTCTTTTTTCTGTTGTAAAGGAAGAGCCCAGGCTGGATGTCTTGATCAACAATGCTGGGATATTCCAGTGTCCTTATATGAAGACAGAGGATGGTTTTGAGATGCAGTTTGGTGTCAACCACTTAGGTCACTTCCTGCTTACAAACCTCCTTCTTGGACTTCTGAAAAACTCTGCACCCAGCAGAATTGTAGTAGTGTCCTCCAAGCTTTATAAATATGGAGAGATCAACTTCGATGACTTGAACAGTGAGCTAAGTTACAATAAAAGCTTTGCCTATAGTCGAAGCAAACTGGCTAACATACTCTTCACCAGGGAGTTAGCCCGGCGCTTAGAGAACACCGGGGTCACAGTCAATGTGCTACATCCTGGCATTGTCCGAACAAACCTAGGTAGGCACATACATATTCCTTTACTAGCCAGGCCCTTGTTCAATTTGGTATCCTGGGCTTTCTTCAAGTCTCCGTTGGAAGGAGCCCAGACTTCTGTTTATCTGGCTTCTTCTCCTGAAGTAGAGGGTTTCTCTGGAAAGTACTTTGGGGACTGCAAAGAGGAGCAGCTGTTGCCCAAAGCCATGGATGATTTGGTTGCAAGGAAACTGTGGGATATCAGTGAAGTGATGGTTGGGCTACTAAAATGAATTCCTGAGAGAAGCACTGTATGAAAGGTGTGTGTGTGTGTGTGTGTGTGTATTTTTTTTTTTTTTTTTCAGGACTTCTCAGTTTCCTGCCTCTTACCATTTTGGCTTCACTGAGAGAGAGGAATCTCCAGTTATTTTCCCTCTGTTCTTGGGATTCAAATGCAGGATCTAGGAAAAAGCTCACAGTAGAAAATAAGTGCAATATTTAAGGAACAAATGAGAGTGTATGGGTACAATACAGTGAGGCTGCCTGCCAGGAGGACAGCCATGCTGAAGATCTTCATGTTCCTGCTCCCATGCAAAATAATTAGATGGCCTGTTTTGGCTGCCCTAAGCATTTGGCTTTGGAGCAGGCAAGGAGTGCTGCAGAGATACTTCCTATATTGGCAGAGCCTGTCTTGTCCCCCTCCCACCCCAAAAGCCCATCTCTGATGTCACTTTTGTGACCTCGGAGCTACACCCATGCTTCTATCTAGCAGCCATTGGACTGTGCTGTAAGCCAATGTTGGTTGATGTTCCACACACACACACTCATGTACACATGCACACATGCATGCATGCACATACATACAAACACATGAAAAATGCCTGCTCTCTGATGTGTGTGCTGACAGTCCAGAGCTTCATTTCAGAATTAGTTGTGTATGGTGCTGTATTCAAAAGTTGTGGCAGCTTTGTTTTTGCATTCTAAAAAAGTGCCCCAAGAAAACTAGAGAGAGAAACTATATGTGAGTGCTTTGATCAGTATGAATATTTCTGCTTTGCGGGGAAAATGCAGCCCGAAAGAGTGTAGGCAGACCTGGCCAGAGATGTAATAACACCCTTGCACAATGGCCCTCTAGAATGTGGGACAGAGCCCAGTGTTCTTAAGGCCTACATGTTTCTGCAACAATGGATTCTACCTTCATGTTGTTTATCCTGCTCAGCAGTGTGGCCAACTGCTGAGGCTCTTTTCCCAGCCCCTGGGCTTGTCGGTGAGACACTCTTTTCTGGCCAGGAGCACGTCACATTTAGCAAAAACTTGAGAGGGATGGTATGGCAAGAGTCAAGCCATTTGCTTTGGAGATGCTTGCTGAGCTCCAGTCCACAACAGCCTCCAGTTTTATTGATGTGCTTGTACATATGAAGTAGGTGTGTCATTTTTCCAGAATCACACAAGATGGCAGGTCTGCACTGTTGACCACAGCTGTCACCCTAAGCATTGCTGTATGTCACTTTGGAATCTATAGAATTTGCTAATTCTGTTATGTAAGATGAGTAGACTGGTGTCTTCAGGATAACTTTGCATGGTTCATATTAATGAAATATGAATGGGGGTATAGCAATAAACTGAAAACTAAAACCTCACTCCGGGTGCATGTAATCACAAGATGTGAATGACACATGAATGATTATGCATCAACTATAAACCCTAAATCCCACGACTGCTACCTGTGGTGCATCCACATTAGTGTGGGCCACTTGGCTGGGCAAAGTGGGCTGTGGATTTGCCACACTTCCACTGAGTAGTTCAGTGCTGTTGAAAACTATTGGACTCCACACTCATTTTTGAATTTGCCATAGAAATCAATGACAAATATAGGTCCAGATGGAGTGTCAGGTTGGCTTGAATTATGTGTAGGTCCATGCCCGATGATGCAGCCTAGGTCTTCCAGAGGAACCAAACTGATAAACAGTCATCTCTGTCTGTGTGATTGCACAGTAGCATGGGTTAACCTGGGTTTCACCTGCACAGACATTGGTGTGCACTCTTCAGAATGTGCCTAGTTTAGTCTTCAATAACACCAGATAGAAAGTCCATATATAGAACCTCTGCTGTGCAGAGTGGTTAATGTTTAGTTTTGGCATAAATTACATAAATGTGCCTCAATTTGTTCTTTGTAAATAAAATTATATCCTAAACGGTGTGTGTTTGTGTCTTTATTTATCTGTGCACACACAGTGTGTATAGATAAGTTTCCTTATCTAAGTTCTATATATTTTAAAGTTGTAGCAATGCATGTGACAAAAATGTCAGAATAGAATAATCTTTCACAAGAAAGAGAGTTTAGAAATGTAGTGTACCATAACACACAATGTACATACCACATGGTAAACCCTTGAGATAGCATCTGTATCAGATTGTTAGACTGCGGCACTCCCCTGACTTTTCTCTGCTGCAGTTACTGCATGCCTTCTTCCCAAAAAGACACCTGAGACGGACCTGTGCTTTGAGATGGTATTTTTAGTCACACACACTCTCAACAGCCATCGATAAAAATAACATGCTTTGCAAATGTGCATTCCCCACATAAACCACCTGCAATGAACCATTCATTCAGAAAGCTGATTTAAATTTCCCCAGCCTGGTGCCCTCCAGGTGTGTTCCCTCACCGCAACTCCTGCTCCACCAAAGGCCATGCTGCTTAGGGATGATGGGAGTTGTAGTACAGCATGTTTGAAGGGCACCAGGATGGGGAAGACTACTGGGATGACTTGGGAGTTTTTTCCAGACAGGCTGCTGCCAGCAATAGCTCAGCTCTTTATGAAGGAAATGATCTTGCAGGCCGAAAAGGATGCAGAGAAAAGCTGGTGTTGAGCCTGGGCAGATTGCTTGGACTGACGCTGCTGAAGGAACTACACCTGGAGTATTGGCATGGATGAGCACTCCCATCACACACGGAAGGAAGTTCCTTTTGTATTGGATGCCTTCTGCCAATGAAGGGGTTGAACATTTGTTACCACTCTGCAGCCACACTGGAGAGTAATCCCGTCATTGTGCTTAACTGGGCACGGCCATGTGCGTTTTTGGGCTGGGTTCATTGGTGACATTGGCTTCTTGCAGTCGGAGCAGCTTCAGATACAAGCAGCTTATACAAGATTCTGACTTTGTGACTTTGGGCCCTGCTTTATACTAAGCCAGACAACTGGCCTGTCCTAAGTATTACCTAGATCCAGAAAAG